GGGGGGAGGTTCTTGTCGAGGAATGAGTGCATTCTGTGATAGGTTGGCGGGGAGCGCTGTGGTGGGGTTTGCTCCTTCTTTCCTGTCAAATATCTTGTCATCCTTCGAGAAGGCTCAGATAATTCTATGGCTCAATCTAATTTATCAACTTCTGCCGGGATATTTGTCTGTAGTGTTCGGTAAAAGGACTAACCAAATTTACATCTTTTGTGTTGTAAATAGTGGATTTCTGTGTCTATATATTTTCCCTTTATCGTTGTTTCAGTCTGGGCCTGGCGTACGCAGGATCAAACCGTGAGGATGTTCTGAGTCTGATTTTGCCTGTGCTGGGAGACTCAAAGGCCAATATGGAGGTAAGCCGTGGCAGTAGGAGAGTAGGAGTTTGGTAAAATAATGGCTTTTATCGAGAAAAAAATTCTTGTATTCAAGTTGATTTCTAACTTTTGAAACTAGAGTTGTTTTGATAGATTTGTAGAAAACATCAAGAGTTTATGTTCATTTTCTTGTTCTTGGTGAATCCTGGGGGGGGGTTTGTTTGTTTGTCTATTTTTTTGTGGTTGTTTTTTATTGAGATCAGTCCAAACCTTTGGATCATTGTGTAGCCTGTTGCCAGTATGTTTGGTCTTCTCGGTTAAAGACGATATTGTGGAACAACAGTATGGCACTGTGGTGGTAGGACATGAGAGTATTGCCGTTTGTCCGTGTCTCCTTGAAGTCTTGCTAAAGGCATCATCATTGTAAATGGTGTGGTGGGTTTTGCTCTTAGGTGAGAATGGGTGGTTGGTGGGTGCTCTGGTTAGGTTTGCTCCTTCCTTGCTATCAAACATCTATGTGAGTGGTTGGCAGGTGCTCTGGTGTGGTTTGCTTCTTCTTTCCTGTGAAACATCTATCGTCCTTATCTCCCCTTCTTCTTTTTTATGTTTGTTACTCTCTTGTAACACCTCTAATCTTCTGGCGCTCATATGACCTTGGGCAGATGCGAGCACCGAAAAACCTCTACTAAAACTCTTTTTTAAAATCTTACTAAAACAAAAACATCTGTTGTCCTTATTTTTCCTTCTTTTCCTCTCTAATCTCCGGCACGTATATACGACCTATTTGTGTTGCTGCAAGTGTCATATAACTCGTAACTAGCGCGAAACAAAAGCAAAAAACCTTCTTCAGGTGGATTTTAAAACAAAACAAAACCAAACCATTTCCTCAGGTGATACTAAAACAAACCAAACCATTTCCTCAGGTGATACTAAAACAAACCAAACCATTTCCTCAGGTGATAACAAAACAAACCAAACCATTTCCTCAGGTGATACTAAAACAAACCAAACCATTTCCTCAGGTGATAACAAAACAAACCAAACCATTTCCTCAGGTGATACTAAAACAAACCAAACCATTTCCTCAGGTGATAACAAAACAAACCAAACCATTTCCTCAGGTGATACTAAAACAAACCAAACCATTTCCTCAGGTGATAACAAAACAAACCAAACCATTTCCTCAGGTGATACTAAAACAAACCAAACCATTTCCTCAGGTGATAACAAAACAAACCAAACCATTTCCTCAGGTGATAACAAAACAAAACAAACCATTTCCTCAGGTGATAACAAAACAAAACCACCATTTCCTCAGGTGATCGGCAATGCTGCGCTGGCGTGCGGTCTGATCGCCGTGGGCACGTGTAACGGCGAGGTCACCTCCACCATTCTGCAGACCATGATGGAGAGGTCGGAGAGCGACCTCAAGGAGACGTTTTCCCGCTATCTGGCGCTCGGACTGGCGCTGGCTTTCCTGGGTGAGATGCCGCGAAATCCTCTCTCTTTCTTTTTTTTTGAAATTCTCTCTTTTTTGGGGGGCTAAAGTCCTCTCTTTTTTAAAGTGAAATCCTCTTTTTTTTTCTTTTTTTCTTTCTTTTTTATAAAAAAATTAATTCTTCTTCAGGTTTTTAGATTGTGGTCCGTTTTGTCTGTTTGTTTTGGTTTTGGTTGTTTGTTTTTTTCTTTTGAGTGGGGGAGTTACTTACTTGTGATACAATGCAGCCTCTCTATAATGATATCATAGGGACCAGAGAAAAATGTCATAGAGAGGGGACCAGAAATATTACTAATGATATATAAGGGAAAAATTGGGACCCGTACAGCGACGAAAATGAAACAGTGTTTTCCCCTCAACCCCGCGGGTCTCTCAGGCACCTATATGACCTGACCAATTCGTGTTGCAAATGCCATAAAACTTTGACTCAAAATAATTCAAATTATAAATTAAAGCGAGTTTTTTTTCCCCTTCGTCTGGTCTCTCAGGCAAGCAGGATGCGGCTGACGCTACCTTGATGGCCCTGGAGGTCGTGGCGGAGCCCCTCAAGTCGATGGCCAGTATGCTCGTGGACGTGGCAGCATACGCCGGTACAGGAAACGTGCTCAAGATCCAGAAGCTGCTGCACGTCTGCTCGGAGCACGACGAGGCCAAGGACGCGGACAACAACGAGAAGAAGGAGGACAAGAACAAGAAGAAGGAGAAGGAGGAGAAGAAGAAGGAGGATGAGAAGCCCGCGGGGCCCGATCTGTCTGTCCAGCAAGGTGAGGACTTGGTCGGGCTGGAGAGTTTGGTTTTTTAAATTTAAAAACACAAACATCTAGGGACAAAAAATAAAATTGGTTAAAGATTTTCCCGAGGTATCAAAATCCTCCAGTGTGATTGTAGGTACGCTGCACCCCATCACACATATATATGGTCACTTTTAAGCACAAGGGGTAAAGTTTTTGCCCCTTGTTCGGGTTTCTTTTAGAGACAAGTAGAGTTTTCTCTATAACCAAATAAATATACACACCAATGAAACCAAACTTCTCCTACAGGTAGGGCAATGCCCACTTTTGGTGTTGGTCAAGATTTCTAGAAACCCCCGAAATCTGGGTTAGCCTGCTTGTCCTTAAAGGGGACCATATATATCTCTGTCACGACGTGGTGGAATCAAGCTCTCGTCAATTTTTGGGCCATGGGGACTTGTTGGTGTCATCTGAAAGTTTATTCATTTGTCTATCTTTTGATAGAAGTAAAAAGTACCCATCTATCTTGAATAGAAGTCAAGATATTTTGTGATTGAAGAAGGTGGGGGTAGCGTGGTTTCAGATGATGTAAAATTAGCGACAAAAAGGCCACTAGAGTTTGGTAACTCGTATAGTTTGAGATTCTCTGGAAACTGGGTGGCACTTTGTTGTTTAGAGAAGAAATTCTCTCTTTCTGTCTGGCTGCTGGTATGTATACTGCTCAGTGTTTTGCTGTTATTATTATTATTATTATTATTATTATCATCATCATCATTGTTATTATCGTCATTGTTATTTTTATCATCATCGTCATTATTATTATTATCATCAACATCATTATTATTGCTATTATTATTTTTATCATCATCATTTGCTATGGTTACTTTTATCATCATCATCATCATTATTATTTTTATCATCATCATTTGCTATGGTTACTTTTATCATCATTATCATTATTATTATTTTTATCATCGTTATTATTGCTATTATTATTTTTATCATCATCATCATCGTTATTATCAATGTTCTTATTGTGATTGTACGTTTGACGTGTCCCCCCAGGCGTGGCTGTGCTGGGCATCGGTCTGATCGCCATGGGGGAGGAGGTCGGCTGCGAGATGTCGTTCCGCGCCTTCGGACACCTGCTTCGGTACGGGGAGCTGCCGATCCGCCGCGCCGTGCCGCTGGCCTTGGCCCTCATCTCCGTGTCTAACCCCAAGCTCAACATCCTGGACACGCTCAGCAAGTTCTCGCACGACAGCGACCCTGAGGTGGCTCACAACGCCATCTTGGCTATGGGCATTGTGGGGGCAGGTGGGTGCTTGTTCTTTGTTGTTGTGGTTGTTGTAGTGGTGGTGGTGGTGGTGGTTGTTGTGGTGGTGGTGGTTGTTGTTGTGGTGGTTCTGGTGGTAGTGGTGGATGTTGTAGTGGTGGTGGTTGTTGTTGTGGTGGTGGTTCTGGTGGTAGTGGTGGTTGTTGTAGTGGTGGTGGTTTTGGTTGTTGTGGTGGTTGTTGTGGTTCTGGTGGTTTTGGTTGTTGTGGTGGTGGTGGTTGTTGTGGTTGTGGTGGTTTTGGTTGTGGTTGTGGTGGTGGTGGT